AATACATCATATAAAAAATAAAATTTACAATTATGAACTGTAATTGTAATCTAAAACAGCATTAATCTATTTAAAGTCAAGAATTTAAGTCTATTAAGTGAGCAAGCTTTTAAATTTAAAAATTATATTAAAATTAACTATCAAATTTTTCAATATTTAAATATAAATTAGCATTTTTCAGCAAATTAAATTATTTTACCTCCTAAACATTTTTCTTCAATTTTATGTTTCTTTAGTATAGTAAATAGAAATCTAGCTAAATGGAAAAAAATAAGAACCAAGATACATCAAATAAAGGTACATGATCTCAATGATGAATGTAACTGTACTGTATCCCTAAAATGTACCAATAAACTCAGTTAAAGCTGAAAAAAGAAGTTTTTTTTTTTCTTCAGAATAATTATACAGCTAGACTGGCATTGTTAATGTAAGTAAATACTTCTGTGAATTAGTTTTTCCATAGTATGATTAAGCTTTTCTCTGGCTTTTCCCTCTTTTTTAGAATAATAAAAATGGCAATGACCATATAAAACTCTGGACCTTACTCCCTGGACCATGCAAATCCACCTCTTTGATACCTTTGGTATGAAGAAAACTGTGGATTAACAATTGTGGATTGTGAAACTCTGATTAGAATTTCAGTTCAGATACACAGGAAACATTTGAGTCACAAGGTAAAGATCTTCATGGCAAGATGCGCTTCAAAACACAGCATCAATAAAATAGTTTGTAATTTTAAGGTTCATTGCAGATATTAACAATATGAAATGGTCATTTACTTCTCTATGAAATATAAATGCTACAGCTAACCAAAGTAAATTATATAAAAGATCATTATACATGAACATATTTTATGGCACATCTTCAAATTCCAAGGAAAATTGCTTTCTATATGTATTTATAATTGAAATACAAACGTGTCATGACTTTGGTTGAAAATAAAACACATTTTCATAGTTTAGATTTTATGCCTTCTAAACTGTAAACATGAGAAATATATTTTCTAAATATCAACTTTATGCTGTGACCAATTATAGTATGAAATATTTTCAACATAAAAGAATACTGAGTTGTATTCTTAGCAGTGATGTGATGAACTTTTATTTGTGGAGATTTTTAAAAAGAAAATATCTCACAAATTATACTATTTTTGCCTCAATGTTTTTTTTGCTGAACAAAAATTTTAATAAATTAAACAAAAGAACATATCTCAAAACATCTCAAGGAACAGTAATGAAACTAAAAGAAAATAGCAAAAACTATGCAGTTAAATAAAATACCAGAATCTATTACTGAGAATGTAAACTATAAAGATGACATTTATCCAAACAAATTATTCAGATACGCGAAGAGCAGACATCTGTTCTTCTGCTGCCAACCATATCACAAGTGTGCCAAGCAACAGATGTACAGGGTACCAAGTAAACGTCTAATTACAAAACGTGTGCCAAGGAAACATGAATGAGCCTAAGAGACTTACACCTGTC